CACCCCCCTCCCTGGAGAGGCCGGCAGTTTGCCTTTTCAGAGGATAATTCCCTATTATCCAGGGATATTTAGCCTAATAGAAGCCGACAGATCATTCAGGGCAGTAATGTACTCCGGTTTCCAGCGTTTAGTTTCCTCGGCCTGAACTCCCAGATTAAAGGCTCCTTGCCCGCGACTGCCCCACAACGATGCCCGTGACCTTGACTGCAGTGCTGGGGTAGGTTTCTCCCACCCTCCTTCCCTCTCCCTCCTTTGCTGGCTTCCTGCTCCCTCCCTTTCTCTCTCTCTTAAAAAAAAAAAAAAAAACAGAAGGGGTAATTTTCTTCTTAAATATTCAGTTGAGAGGCTGTTGCTAAACCCTGCATGCTCTGGGGACAGACCAATTGTGCTTGGCTGCCAGTGGGACTTGGAAACACCTGGCTAGCCCAGAATGCTCCCCCAGATGCGTGGGGCCGGCAGGAATGCTGTACCTTCTGGGCTGCTGGGGCCATTGGACCCTCCAGCCTGGCATGGTCAGACAGAAGCTGGGCTGAGGGCCTTGCCCAGGGACAGAACTGGCCCCTTTCTTTCTCTGCCCACCTCCTTTCTCTGCCCAGACCCAGGGATCTGACCTGACACCCTCACTGATGGGGTACTCCCAGGACGGGAAGTTTCTTCCGCTCCTTGGACCTGGGCATCCTGCGGAGAACCTAGGGAAGACTAGTAGCTAAATTGGAGAAGCAGATGGCTGCGGGGGTGGCACTTGGGGGCCTTTCATTGATCAAGTTGGGGGCTTCTGTAGTTGCCTCCTTCTGGCCCCTGCAGGGTCCACTAGTCAGTTCGTCTGTCCCAGCTGATCTCTGTCTTTTGTCTTTTTGTCTTGTCTTCTCTCTCTGCCCCCACTGCACCCTCCCTTTCATCTGCTCACCAGGCTGCCTATTTGAGCTTCCTTGCACTTCCGTGGAGGCAGCAGGGAGCCTGGGAAAGCACAGGGTTTTTAGAACCAGCCGGTCCTGAATTCAAATCCTGGCTCTAGAACTTACAGGCTGTTTCTGTTCAATTCCGTGTTTTGAATTTGAGGAAATCCTTAACCTCTCTAAGCCTTCATCCCATCACCTGTAAGGTGAGATGCTGCTCCTTGGCTCACAGGAATGCCCTGGGCTTCGATGTATGACGTGGCATGGGTGGTACTGGAGGTGGCAGCTTTCCTGCCTTGGCGGTCCCAGTCTCCCCACTCCCTGACACTGTCACATCTCCTGCCCAGAGGCCCTCTCTCTGACCCTCTGGCTTGGAAAAGGGAAGGTGTTCTGGTGGGATACCTGGTAAGGTGGATTCTAGTTCTCCCCAGGCTCAAGCTGCCTGTGTGGGTGTGAGGTGAAGAATAAGGCTGATCAGGAGGGACCCTGCCCCTTGAGTTCATTTCCTGGGCAAAGCCCGGTGTCTGGTCCTCGATCTGGTCTGAAGGAACCAACCTAAGGGGCTGTGGCAGGACCATAGGGGAATGAGAGGAAAGGGGCGGGGAGCAGGACACGTGTAACCTGGGAAGAGACACCTTCTGGGCTGGGACTCCCTTCCAGGGTTTTTTGTGGGGGTGCACAAAGAGAGCCTCTAACTTGCAGGGATAGGGAGTCTTGGCAAAGGGACAGGAGCCCTGGTTGGAGGGCAGATTCCTGCTCCCTCCTCTGCAGCAGGAGTGGTGGGATGACCACTGGCATTCAGAGGGGAAGGCTCCTCGGTGTGGGGCTGATGTGCTATTGGACCTCAGGCTGGTCTTATTCCCTCTCTGGGCCTCAGATTTCACATCTGCTAAATGGGGTTAATCATCCTTTGTGCCTCTGGGATGGGCACAAGATCGAGTTAGAGAATAGATAGGAATGTTGGTGATCTATAATGTAGTAATAATAATAATAACAACTATTATTCTGGGATAATAATATCCTTGCCTTCCCTTCATTCTCTGTAACACCCTCTTTGATCCACATAATCTAGTCCTGATTCACATGTGAGTAAAGAACCCCATGGCTGAAAGCAACCCCCACATTTAGTGCAAATCCCTACCCAGCATATATGTTCTCCAGACCTCTGCTTGCATGCCCCCGGGGACAGGGAGCTCACTACTCTTCATGCTGAAAAGCAATCTCTCTTCCTGGAATCTTTCCTCACTGGGCCTAGCTCTACTCTTTGGGCCCATAAATGCCAATGCCAGGGACCTGAAGTCCTGACCAGGCCCTTGAGGCTTCCCCAGGGAACATGGGGTTCAGACCCACCTCTTCCTGTCAAGCCCCTGTGAACAGACCACACTTTATCCAAAATCATCTAGACAGATACATCGAGGATGAAGCATGGCTGCAGCATCTCCAGAGTTGGAGTGATTGGCTTACCCAGCCCTCATGTGCCACCAGGATCCACAGAGGCCACAGCTCCCTGGCCACTCTTAGAGCTACTCACAGAACTCAGCCAGGGCCTAGTAACCCTCTCTTGTACACTTTGGCCCCTTCCTGGGTAAATGGAGGTCTTTGGACAGAGGATCCTGACTCCCTAATTGACCCTTCCAGGCTGGACCTCCTTTCAAAGTTCCACCCTAGTCTCTGAAGTTGAAAGTCGCTTAGCTGTGTCTGACTCTTTGTGAGTCGGACTGTAGGCCGCCTGGCTCCTCCGTCCATGGGAATCTCCAGGCAAGAATACTGGAGTGAATTGCCATTCCCTTCTCCAGGGGATTTTCCTGACCCTGGGATCAAACCCAGGTCTCCTGACTTGCAGGCAGATTCTTAACCAAGTGAGCCAGTGGGGAAGCCTACATCCTAGTCTCTAGTTTCTGCCAAAAAAGGTTGTTCCAGGAAGGGCCAAGGACCAACCCTGCTGATGCCAGTGAGATTCCATTCCAGGGGCCAGTCTGCCTCATTCTCCCACTTTCTTGGATGTGGTTATATAGCTAACCACTGAGAAGCCCAGGCCATAGTTTTCTGTCTCATCGACAAGGATGTACGAGGGCCTCACTTGTGGCTGGCTGGAGTGTGTGTCACTCTTTTGAGCAGCCAAGAGAGGATATGCAGTTTTCCCACAAGACTCTTTGGTCATGAAATTCTGACACTTACCATTGGCTTTCCTGGCATTCTCAGCAACACTTCCAGAATCTTGATTGGAATAGATGTAAGTTTACCTAAGCTTAAATTGACTTCTTTAGCCCTTTTTAAACAAAAGGGGAAAGGTGCTAATAGTTATAAATGTCAGTTCTTGACATTTATCACTTCACTGAGTCTTCATCACAACGTTGAGTGGGAGGATTGTGGGATCTGAGCCTTGAGAAGCAAAGGAACTTACCCGGGGTCCCATAGTGAGCTAGGATGAAGCCGAGACTCAAACCCTGGATGGTCTCACCTTCAAACTCATGCTTTTCCCAGATGCTGCGCCCTGCCTCCCCAGTCCCACGCCCCATGCTAGAACTTCTCAGGTTCAGCCAGCATGTTCTTTAACAAGCACGTGCTGGGGGTCTGCTCTGGACCAGCCCCTCTACACCCTCCCCTGTCCTTCCCTGTCCTGTCTTTTTGGACAGTCTTGTCTCCTGCCAGCCTGAGGGTGGGACCCAATCTCTTTCCTGCCCTGTGTGCTACATGCAGGACCAGAGAACACAGCGGGGGCTTGGAAAGAAAGATGCACCCTGGGGGGTGTGAGACTCAGTGTGTGGGGGGTGGCGGTCTTCATGGTGGCTCATCTGCTGTTATTTTTTAACAGTTATTTAAAATTTTTTCGTGGGGGGTCTGGTGGTAAAAGCAGTCGTGTCCATGGTAGAAGATCTAGGAGTCATCCTTGATTCCTTTTTCTTACCCCCACCTCCTCACATCCAACTCATCAACCAACTGCTGATGAGCTGTGTTTGCAACAGCATATATCCTCAATCTGTCTAGTCCCTCCCTCACCCTGGCCCAAGGCACATCTCCCTGTCTTGGGCAACTGCCAGAGCCAGCCCACAGGTCCCCTGCTCCTGGGCCTCCTCCTCTTCAATCCAGTCTCCAGTCGGCAGCCCAAAGGAACTTTTCACAACGAGTAAGACGTCCCAGCACTTCCGAGGTGACTCTTCATTGCACTAGGGATGAAGACCGAAGCTTTACCTTGGCCTTCAAGGCCCAGCCTCCCTCTGTGGCCTCCTTTCCACAGTTGCCCCACCTCTGCCCATCTCATTCCAGGGGCCAAATGGCTTGTGGCTCCTCAGAAACACCAGTCTTCTTCCCCACTCTGTTCGTTGCCCTGCTCCTGCTGCTCTAGGTTGACTTGAGTTCTTATTGTCCATGTGTAAATTCAGATGTGGCCTCTGCAGAAAGGCCTCCTCAGATCCTCCTGCTCGAGGGACCCTTGAGCCCCATCCCAGGCGCTCTCCCTCACGTGCCCAGGCTCATCTTCATCGCACTTGTCATTCTTTGGAACTATCTTGTTTCTTTATTTGCTTATCAGCTGTATCCCCATCCCTGTGAGGGGCACCCCAATTAATTTCCAGCACCTATAATATGGTTGGTACATAGTAAGTGCTCATAAGCATTTGGTGACAGAATGAAAAATAACAGAAAAATGTACAGGAGAAATAGAAACACAACTGTGGATATGGTAGCAGTTTGTAATGTAATTATCATTGTGTGTGTGTGTGGTGTGTGTCTATAAGCTGAGTATCCCTGATATTTTAATTATACGCACACGTGGGAGACACACAGGGCTTTCCAGGTGGCACTAGTGGTAATGAACCTGCCTGCCAATGCAGGAGACTTAAGAGAAAAGGGTTCGATCCCTGGGTGGGGAAAATGCCCTGGAGGAGAGCATGGCAACCTGCTCTGGTGTTCTTGCCTGGAGAATCCATGGACAGAGAAGCCTGGCAGGCTACAGTCCACAGGGTGGCAAAGAGTAGGACATGACTGAAGCAACTTAGCAAACACGGGAGGCATGTGTACGTGTGGGTTGTATGCACGCATAGGCATGTGCACACATATGTTTCTCTGTTCAGTAGCAGTGTGACCTCCGATGAGGTCTTTTACCTTTTGCGTGGCTCGGTTGTTGCACTTGTGGAATGGAGCTGCCTGGGGCTGGAGGCAGAAGCCTGGATGTCTTGGCCTTTTGAGGTCAGCCCTGGCCAGCGACAGTAGTGCCGCAGGCAGCTCGGGCTCTGAAGTCTGTCTGCTGGCCTGCTGTGTTGTGCCGAGGGCTCCGGGAGGTGTTTATTGAAGTCCACCTGCACACAAGGCTGCTCCTCGCTGCCCTCTGAGGTGAGGATCTCACCCAGGCAGGAGGGAGGAGTCCAGGGTCAGGAAATTGGCACGAAAGCCTGGAGACATGAGCTTGGCTGCCAGGGGCTGGATTGCCTTCACAGTCTCTTGGATGTATCAATAGCTTTGATTTTCAATAAGTTTTAATTTTTGTGTTTGTGCTTGTTTTGTAAAGAATTTTTGATACAACATTTTATTTCTTTTTTCTTTCAATTGCTACAAAAAAGCATTTCCATGCAATTAGAAAGGGAGGACACACATGCACATACACACTTGCTTGCACACATACTACTGTTTCTACTGCTCCGAGTCAACAGCTCTTCCCTTCCTGTCACCTTGCCCTTCTCCTGTGAAGACAACACTGAAACCTTGTAGACCATGTGGGAAGTAGAAGTGACCCTTGACCTCTGTGCCCTAGTTTCCTGATTCCAAAAAAAAAAAAAAATGAGTATCAATTGCTCCTTCTTACAGCTATTGTAGAGATCACATGAGCCCACGTTTGTAAGGCACTTAGAATGTATCTGTTAAATAAGATGAGTTAATACATAAAAAGGAGAGGTCAAAAGTTAACATCCCCATCATGGCACAAAGTAACAGCTGTGGAAGTCTGTCCTTAGAGTCAGAAATCAAAGAGTTCAAGCCCTATTCTAGCCCTCCCTCCCCATGTCACCAGGGCTGTGGGTGGCTTATTGAAGCCTCAGCTCCTCCATCTCTAGAATGGGTGTGAACTCTGGATGTCATTATGCTGCAGTGCAGGCTGGGATAACAGATACAAGTGGGCTCAGTGAGCACAGAGCCCTGTACACCACTGCAACCCCACCCTACCCTCATCCATTTTCCGTTTTCTTGTTCAGTATTGTTAGGTAAACATTGCTCTGTGCTGCTACAAGTCTCTGTGTTTATCACTTTTAATGGCTGTGTAATATCCCATCAAACAGCAGTGTCATGATGCACTTCGTTATCTGTATTGTGGGATGTTTAGGCAGCTTCCAGCATTTTGTTGTTATTAATAACCCTGCAGTGGCCAGCTCTGTGCCCAGGGCACTTCCTCTCTGATGAATGATTTCCCCAGCAATATTCTTTGGGGCTGCTTGACTAGGGGCCTGAGGGATGGGCCAGCAGCAGTGGCTGGGAGAGATGATCCCTTCAAACGTGGCCTGATACCCTGTCTTGGGAGCAGTAGCATGGTTAATGGGATAGCAAGACACTGTGTGTGACGGTGCTGATCAGGACGGGAGAACATGAGAAGGTCAGTGGGTGCTATTGAGAGTTGGGGCTAGGAGTCCGAAGAGTTAGGTTCTAGATTTTGCCTTTGCCACTCTCTATGTGACCTTGGACAAATCCTATCTCCTCTCTGGACCTCAGTTTTCTCTGGGTTGTGACCAGGGGGGCTTTCTCAATGGCTCAGAGGGAAAGAATCTGCCTGCAATGCAGGAGCCGCAGGGGACGCGGGTTCTACCCCTGGGTTGGGAAGATCCCCTGGGTTAGGAAATGGCAACCTGCTCCTGTATTCTTACCTGGAAAATTCTATGGACAGAAGAGCTGGGCGGGCTATAGTCCATGGGGTCACAAAGAGTCCAACACCAACTGAGGACGCATAGCACTGGGGCCAGGGGCTAGGCAAGGGTTGGTCCAGAGCTGTACTATCGAATATGGTACCAACTAGCCACATGTGACTATTTAGATTTAAATATAAATGAATAAAAGAAAAGAAAAAATCAGATTCTTAGTGTCTTTATCCTCATTTCAACATCCACATGTGGCTAGCAGCTATCGTATCAGGCAGCACAGGTATCAAACACACCCATCATTGCAGAAAGCTCAATTCCACTGCACTGATCTAGAGATGTTTCTGGAGACCCAGTCAGCCGAGTGTTCTGTGACGCAGGATCTCGGTCATTGTGCCTTTTTTATGGAGCCAAGAAGCAAGCCAGTATCCCTTAGATCAGAGGACTCATGAAGGGATAAAGAGGCTTAGTGACTTTCCAACAGCCAGGACCTCAGGCAATGTCCTGAGTCTGAAATATCTCCACCCTTTGTCCCTCCCCAAAGGTGCCACTTGGCCTTAAAGAAGCTGGGGAAGACTGTGTTTATCACCCCCTTGAGGGGTGGCCCCCCAAAGCTGGGTCAGTGCCCAAAGGAGGTATGTGTGAAGGCAGAGTAGACGGTTTCCTGCTTCTTCAGATGGGAAGGCACTCAGAGGCGCTACATTGCTCTCTGCCCATGCCTGGAACACTATTCATTCCCTTGGGTTGAGCACTGTCCTCTCTAGGATTCTTTTAGAAGTCCAGTGTGCCAAGTCGCTTCAATCTGACTCTTCAATCAGATTCGCAATGTCTGACTCTTTGTGACCCCATGAACTGTAGCCCACCAGGCTCCTCTGTCCATGGGATATTCCAGGCAAGAATACTGGAGTGGATTGCTCTCTTCCAGGGGTTCTTCCTGACCCAGGGATTGAACCCTTGTCTCTTATGTCTCCTGCATTGGCCAGTGGGTTCTTTACCACTAGTGCTACCTGGGAAGCCCACAGAATACTGGAGTGAGTTGCCATTCCCTTCTCCACGGGATCTTCCTGACCCAGCGATTGAACCTGGGTCTCCTGCATTGCAGGCAGATTCTTTACCATCTGAACCACCAGGGAAGCCACTTGGATGTCCAGACCAGCGATCAAAGAAGATAGCTGCCTCGCTCACCTTTGTCCTGTTCTGGCTACCTCAGGCCCTGGGCCCGGTTCTGGACACTCACTGGGAGAGGAACTGTGAGAAATGAGTCCACAGTCCTGAGGGGGACGCTCCCCTGCCCTCCGCCTGCCACCGGGCACATACAGTCTGGCAATAGCACATGGATTCCAGCCATGCCTGCACGCCCCTCCCCCATCCTCCCTTCTCTTCAGAGGGAAGGGCTCCTACAGATGCTCTTCGGCAGCCTGGAGGTACTCCGGGTGAGGGCGCAATAAAGGGGTAAGTGACGTACAAGAGGTGAGGAAGTGAAGACAGACTTGGCAGACTCGCCTCCCCTTGGGAAAGCGTGACCACTGTCTGCCTGATGCCCTGTGCCCCTGTGTCCCCATGTGAACCATACTGCTCATTCTTGCTTTTCTTCTTTTCTAGGGACTCCACAGCCATGTCCTGGTTGTGCTGAGCCTGCCTCCTGCCAGCATTTCGGGGCTCTGTCCCTGCCCAGCTCCTGGACCCACTCCCCAGCCTATTCCTCACCCCAGCCTGCACCGAAGTGACTCCTCAAGCTTCAGGACTCAGTGGGGCACAGTGGTAGTCACGGTAGGTGGCACACCCACCCTGCCCATTCCCTGGCTCCTTCTCCGTCTCTGGAACTGGAAGGATACCTTTCTGAACACGGTGTCTGTGAGGATCCCTTTGGTTTCAAGTAACAAAAATCTTATTCCAATAAAATGAGATTATCAACTCATGAAACTGAAGCGTCTGGGGGTAAGTTGGGCTTCAGGCAGGGCTTGATCCAGTCGCTTCAACAATGTGACCAGGAGCTGTTTTCTGTCTGTAATTCTCTGCTTCTCTTTTTTTGGTGATGGCTCCACTCCTAGTATCTTTTCACATGATGTAATCGTTAAGATATATCAGCAATTTCTGGGGCTACTGTCTACCAAGTTGAAATCTGGGGTCTCGGCTAGAGATAAAGCCTGCTTTTCTGATAGAACGAATAAAAGTCCTGGAGTTAGGACTTGGGATTTATAGTCCCAAGTGACTATAAATCTCTTGGGCCCTATTGGCAGCATTAAAATAATCCTGATCCTTTAATTGGATACACAGGAAATGAGGATGGACTGGGGTAAGGGTCTGTCCTTCCCCAACCATGTGACCAGCAATGAGAGAGAAGCTTCTTTTGAGCTTCTCAAAGGAAGCTCAGAGTCTTCTGGCAGGAAGGAGATGTCTCTGACTGGGGGAGGCAAATAGTAAATGATTACTAAAGATGGAGTCTGCCCCATCCTCTTTTTCAAGGCCTAGTTTAGATCCCTCCTGCTCTAGGAAACTTTTGCTGACTGCTTTCGCCAATGGTCATTTCCTTTAATTCATGCTCAAGCTCTGCCCTTTTTATAGATGGAAAGACCAAGGTCTGGTGTGCATTTCCGTATGAATACTCTGTTGGTTATGACCTTAGTGCTGAAATGTGTTGCTCTCTTTGTCTTGGCTGCTAGGAAGCTCATAGCTGGTTTGTGGCCCCTTTCTGATAAGTGCTTGGGTTGCTGGGGCATGTAGTTGCTCAGCAGCCTTGCCTTTGGCTTCTTCTTCTTTTCTCGCACATCTTTCCCTTGTTCTGATTTCTTCTGTTATTTTTCAGCTTGTGCTGTTCTTAGCAACCTCAAACTCTTTTAGAAGGAGGTGGGGTATAAATAACCAAGAGTGGCTGTAAATGAAGCATTCAGCACTGACAGTATCCAAATTCTAGGCCTTTTCCTTTCTAGAGGTAGTTGGGAGGAGCGTCTCCCCATGCCCAGGGCTAAGCCTGTCCTCAGGGAGACACCAAAGCCTGACCACAGTAGCCCCAGTACACTGCCCACCTTGCCCTCTGTAGGTTGAGAATGGCATTGTTCTGCTTCCCATCCCCTTCCCTCCCAACTCCCCATCTTATCAGAAGCTAATGAAAGAGGCTGGGAAACCCAATCCTCTGGTAATTAAATTTACTTAACGGGTATTCAAGTGGAGTAATGAGAAGTTTAATGCAGTGATTAGATTTTTCTTTAATTAATTAAAATGAGAACCATGTGTCTTTCCTGCAAACCAACTTGACCCTCTGCTTGGGAGGAGCAGGCAGAGGGAGCGGAGGGTTTGGCTGGGTGGGTGGGAGTGCTGAGGGGTGGGGAAGCCTCCTGCCAAACTCTGACGCCCACTCAGGCCAGTCTCTGATTCAGCTCCCATTTCTGAGCCCCGTGAGTGCCAGACCTGGGTTAAACCTGAGTCACCCAGGGCCGGGAGATCTGGCAGTCCCAACGCCCAGCTAAAAACTGTTCAGGATGGAGGT